AACATAACACCATGTACAACATCACAATGTAAAACATTTACACATAAGTTCATTTAGAACAATACACAGAACACAATGTACAACATCACAATGTAAAACATTACACATATATTCATTTAGAACATTACACATACCTCCATGTGCAACATCACAATGTAAAACAGTACACATATATTCATTTAGAACATTACACATAACACCATGTACAACATCACAATGTAAAACATTACACATATATTCATTTAGAACATTACACATACCTCCATGTGCAACATCACAATGTAAAACAGTACACATATATTCATTTAGAACATTACACATAACACCATGTACAACATCACAATGTAAAACATTTACACACAAGTTCATTTAGAACAATACACAGAACACAATGTACAACATCACAATGTAAAACATTACACATATATTCATTTAGAACATTACACATACCTCCATGTGCAACATCACAATGTAAAACAGTACACATATATTCATTTAGAACATTACACATAACACCATGTACAACATCACAATGTAAAACAGTACACATATATTCATTTAGAACATTACACATAACACCATGTACAACATCACAATGTAAAACATTACACATATGTTCATTTAGAACATTACACATAACACCATGTACAACATCATAATGTAAAACAGTACACATAAGTTCATTTAGAACATAACACAGAACACAATGTACAACATCACAATGTGAAACATTACACATATATTCATTTAGAACATTACACATACCTCCATGTGCAACATCACAATGTAAAACATTACACATATATTCATTTAGAACATTACACATACCTCCATGTGCAACATCACAATGTAAAACAGTACACATATATTCATTTAGAACATTACACATAACACCATGTACAACATCACAATGTAAAACATTACACATATATTCATTTAGAACATTACACATAACACAATGTACAACATCACAATGTAAAACATTACAAATAAGTTCAATTAGAACATTACACATAACACAATGTACAACATGGTAATGTAAAACATTACAAATATATTCATTTAGAACATTACACATAATACAATGTACAACATCATAATGTAAAACATTACAAATAAGTTCAATTAGAACATTACACATAACACAATGTACAAAATGGTAATGTAAAACATTACAAATATATTCATTTAGAACATTACACATAACACCATGTACAACATCACAATGTAAAACATTTACACATAAGTTCATTTAGAACAATACACATAAGTTCACATAATAAATGTAAAAAAAACTACCCAAACAGATGTATATGATTGATACTAAAACACTGCTTTTTAGAAATATGCAATCTGATATGAAAAGATGCTACAACAGCCATCACCATGGGGAAACATAATACTCACTTTATAATTGCATTCTGGTACATCTTGATATCCATAAAGTATACCCCACCAACATGCACCTATAACACCAGTAGAATCACTATCACCACAGTGAAACATTGCATGACTACAAAACTTACACCAGTCATCTCTAGCACCAAGGAGAGCATCATATCTGTTTGCAACAATGTATACATATAAGCATGATCTGATATGCAAAGGTCGCATGAATTTCAAAAAAAAATTTGAGAAAAAATCACAACAATGTACATTTTTACAAAGTCAGTGATTTAAAAATACTTATAGTTTTTATCTCAGCTTGTTTTTCTATGTCATTGTGTTTTCACAGAGTTGACCTTTGGTTTGACTTTTGAAAGTGATAAAAAATAGCTGCTCATTTCTAGAACCAAGATTCTTTCAACAAATGAATCCATGTGTACACTGTGCTTGCTATGTGATTTTATTGATTAGAAATGCATACAGCGGACTCGTGCAGAATCCCAAATCTACTTACGCTATCATTGGTGCATCGTGTCCACTGGCTCCACCCCAGCCATCCCAACTGATTGATGAATAGAATGCATCACGCTCTTTGATGCCAAATGTTTCAGGAAATTGTGGTTCAGATTTGCCGTCATAAATCTTGCGTAGTTTAAGATATTCTTTCCAACTGTCTTCGAAATAGGACCTTTAGTCAAAATTTAAGGTTTCATGTTTTAAAATGAGTAAGAGAGAAATACTAATTATGCAAAGATACTGGTACATTATTACTCAATTTTCATAAAATAACTACGTACTATATTTTTAGGTTTTATTTTCACTTAATCTTTTGACCACCAGACTTTTTCTGCATTTTTTCCTATATTCTTTAATATTTCTGGGAATTTAGGTGAGGGTTCTTCGAACCCGCCTATTCACATAGTTCATACCCACCATAGACTCCGGTCAGTCAAAATGACTATTTTGAACTGTAGGCATTAATCAGCGATTCTGTCGGTGACGGAGAGATAGAATCTAGGTCAGGGGAAGCCCCATGACCTCAAGATTCTTTTACCCCTTACGTCACGAACCCACGTGACCGAGGCCACATGGCAGCGCCATAGGTAGCCAATCACTCTGGTTCCTTTCTCTCCACCTCGAGGACAGAGTCAGACACCGATAGGTGGCAGGTTTTTCCGAGCAAACAGAAAAAAAGAATGATGAAAGTCTTTTCCCAGTCCGGGATGAAAACAAACTCAAAACCTTCGATAAGACCCAAGAAGAGTGGTGTCTTACCTTGCCTGTGCTGTCCCCGAAGCAAAAAGCCAATGCTGCTGTGGTGACAGGGTTCGGTGCGCCCGAGAAAGCTAGACCCAAGCCGAATTCGCGGGTGATAAGCTTGAAGTAGGACCGAAACAGTTCGCATGAGGGCGTAGGTCGAAAAAAGCGAAACCTGGGAGCTTCCAGGAAGTGCTAGTGGTACAGACAATCTGCCTGCAAGAATGCCGAGACTGACTTATCGCCTATGCGCAGGGGCCCCTGCGGTCGTTCGGGTTGGGTCAGTAAAGCCTGATCCGCTACAACGGGGCCTAACCTGAAGAGACCCTGCTCAATAGATTGGGTGTCTCTTAGGTAGTAGTTGATGAAGACGTTCTGCGTTCTCCAGAAGCCTGCCCTCAGAATGTGTTCGAGGGGGCGCCTGACGCTAGCGCTAGTAAGTTAGCAATCGCACGGACCTCATGTGCTCGTACTTGGTGCCTCTGCAAGGTCTGTGTTGAGGAGGATAGTGTATTATAGACCTCCAGTACAGTCGCAGTAATCCACCTGGAGATGGAAGTCAGGGAAGCCGGCTTATCCTGTTTGCCAGGGCCGTAACACAAAAACATGTGTTTGGTTCCCCGTCTGGAAAACCTGGTACAATTCTTGTAGCAACTCAGCGCTCGGACCGGGCAGAGAAGCAATTTCTCCTCCTGATCCTCCAGACCGACAATATTTGACAGCCGGGGGATGACGATCGGTTGAGGATCGTGTCCTGGTATTTGGTTCTTGGCGAGAAACCCAATTCGTGTCTTTAGTACAACTTGATCATCCATAAAGGCAGCACAGCCGTCCACGAAGGACAGTGCGCCTAGCTCTGACCGGCGTCTACCAGAGGTGAGGGCCAGTAGAAAGACTGTTTTCCACGTCAAAAACTTGAGCGATGCTGAAACCAGGGGCTCAAAGGGAGGTCTGCTTAGGGCTGATAAAACAACCGACAGGTCCCAATTGGGCGGTTCCCTTGATCGGGCCCTGGGCCTCTGATTATGGAAAGCAGTAAACAGTCTCCTAATAATGGAACAATCGGCTAGACTTGACCCCAAAGAGTTTTCTATGGCGGGGAACAAGGCTGACCTGTAGCCAACGATCGCTGCGTAGGACAGACCCACTTCGTCAAACAAGTGGACAAAGAAGTCTGCTACCTGGCTGATAGAGGGATGGCATGGATCAATCTCCCTTCCACTACACCAACTGGTGTATGCTCGCCATTTTGAGTCATAGGCAGCGTTGGTGGAATCCCTGTTCGCCCTGGCCAGGACGTTGGCAGCCCGCTTAGATAGACCTTTTGTCTGCGCGAGTCTACTGAGAGCCTCCATGCGTGTAAGTGGTACACTGCTGGGCTTGTTGGTAGTGTGCCGTCCGGATGGGACAGCAAGTCTGGTATGTCCGGCAGCACTACCGGTATTTCGACTATCATTTCCAGCGGGAGCGGAAACCAGGCCTTTAATAAGCAGGTGGAGTTAATAAGCAGGTGGGCTCTTGTCGAAGTTTCTCCAGTACCCGGTGAATTAGCGGGAAGGGAGGAAAGGCGTACGCATCCATGTGGGACCAGGGGATCGATAAGGCGTCCACGACCCAGGCTCCTGATGTCGGCAGGAGTGTTACGTACGTCGGGAGCTTGGCATTGCGGGGTGCGGCAAACAGGTCTATCTTTGGACCGTCCCACAGCCGAAACAGCCTTGAGGCTACCCACTGGGGGATCTGCCACTCCATGTTCTGGAGATGGAGGCACCTCGAAAGGGTGTCTGCCAGACCATTTCTCACCCCTGGAAGGTGGTGTGCGGTTAGCTCCACATTGTATTCCAGGCACCAAAGGAGAATTTGCTCTGCTAGGACCGACAATGATGGGGAACGCGTCCCCCCCCCTCCTTGTTGATGTAGGAGACCACTGCTGTGTTGTCTGTGCGGAGCAGGACTCTGTGGTCTCGAACTTCGGGTCGAAAGCGTGAATATGCTAGGTGCACTGCTTTCAGCTCGAGCCAGTTGATATGGTGGTCCCGAACCAACTGCGGGGGCCATATTCCTTGGGCTTGTTTGTCCAATAGATGCGGTCCCCACCCTTGGAGGGAGGCATCTGTTACCAGAGTCATAGCTGTGATGAGTGGGTCCAAGGGGACCCCCTGTCTGAGGTTGGTCAGTGACGACCACCAGGACAGGGTTTCCTTTACTTGGTCCGGGATCAATACCCGTCTGTTTAGTTCCCTTAGGTGAGCTCGGTGTTCTAATAACAAGCGTTGGACCGGGCAGCTGCGTAGTGCGACCTGGGGGAACTACCCTTCGAACGGAGGTCATCATTCCGATGAGCCGCATTAGTTCTCGGAGGGACACTGAAGGAACGCTGACTAGGCGTTCTGCTAGGTTGCTTAGTCAACCAGTCGTCTAGGTACGGATTGATGTGTACCGACATTTGGTGGAGCAGCAGTACTACCTAATTCATCACTCTGGTGAACATGTAGGGCGCTGTGAATAGGGGAGCACCTGAAATTTGAATACTTGGCCTAGATGGGCGAATCGAAGGAGAAGGCAACTTGCTGGATGCATTGGTATGTGCAGGTAAGCATCACATAAGTCTAAAGAGGCTAGCCAGTCGAGCCGGTGGATGGAGAGTAGGACACTGGATGGTGTCTCCATGCGGAACTGATCGAGAAGAACATACTGGTTTAGTCTGCTTAGGTCCAGAACCGGACGCCAGCCGCCTGTAGATGTTGGTACTACGAATACATTTGAGTAGAAGCCCGGCTGAACTATTCTGTGTATGGCGCCCTTTCTTAGCAAACTGTCTACTTCCTGTCTGACTGCTTCCGCTTTGCGGGGATCCCCTGGCAGTGCCCCCAATGGGGGAGACACTGACAGGGGCGGTGGAGAAGACAGTGGTATTCTGTAACCGCGTGTGACCACCTGGAGCGTCCAGGGATCGGTTACCCGCTGCCTCCAAGCCGGAATGCACCGGCGCAATCTGCGTAGTGGTACAGACAATTAAAGCTTGGTAACATCTCAGTTTGTACTCATTGATATTCACAACTTTGTTCGCTATCTTTGTTTATGTGAGACCCATATATCTTGCGCATGCGTGGTGAAACGACTACCGCCCTATAGCATTTAAAGGCTTTAAACATAATTCATGCAAAATTGAATTGTTGAGAAACTCTGTAAATACAGTATATAGCATTCTCAGGGTTATGAAGTACTGTAGAATACTTTATTTTCGCTTGGAATTTATTTTCGCTATTTTTGCTGAAGGATTATTCCGTGAAAATAAAATCCAGCGAATATACTTTTTGTTCATATCTTTCACATTAAACTCATCAAAAATCAGTGAAAATAAATTCCATATAAAACGCTTAAAATGCCTTTTCAGCGAAAATTAATTCTAGCGAAAATAAAATATTCCACAGTATTCCATTCAAGCAAACAATCCCTTTTTTTTTTGAAGAATTTTTGCTTACCAATTGGCTTTACAATCTGCAGCATGCCTTTCTTCTGTTTCTATGTAATTCAGTGCTTTAGGCAAGCATTTCATTAGTCCATTTCCCCACTCATTCACTACAATAATAATATTAACATGTCAATAAACACTAGAACAAAAGTCCATAGACACAAGATCTTGCTGAGTGTACGTAAGGACTTGTCTTTTAATCTCTTCCAATATTGTGATCCCTGACCTACATAACCATGGTATTTGGAAAAAATAAGTTTTGTGGCCGTCTCACTTTGAACAAGGTCATATACATCTAAGGTCTATTCCAAATTTGAGTATCGCTTTCCTGCAAAATATCAAAGTGGGTGTATCTATGTACAAAGACGACAATGTGTCAATGTGGGGTTGAGAGTGTGTCTGATTTATGTCAGAATACGTCAACAGTGACTATGACAAACTAAATTATTAATGTGATCTTCCATCACAAAGCCCTACTCAGCAAGTGATGTCAATAATTCAACTAGACCAGTTGGTAGTTGATTCTTTGCGCTTTATTGCACTATAAAACTAATAAATAAGTTCAATAAATCACCTTTCTGTGAGTGAGAACAGGTTATACTGCAATCCAAAAAAATAACTTTTTAAAATTATATATTATTCATTATGTTTACCTTATTCAAATTAAGTCAATGACCTTATGAATACAATAGAGAAAACTAGCCAATCATCAGTAAGAGTTATTTTATATAGCCATTGTTTATAGGAATTCACTCAAATTTCAATAGGACATCCACATATAGTGGTCTGAGATCTTTGGGTAACTATTCTATTAGTTGATATCCTCACTCACTGATCCTGTCATTGAGCCGAAAAGATAAGAACACTGAAGAAAAAACAGCAGGCTTTAATTTTATCAAAGCTGCCTGTGAGGGCGCTCAGCATGATTATTGTAGTATATCCTCGGGGACGGAGCTACGTCACAAGACGTTCCACGTTGCTAAGACACACACCTCTGTACCACGCATTTCTATGGGCTCTGCGCGGGCTGCTGAGGAACGCAGAACACTGAGCGAAAAGCCGGTGAAAATTCAAGAAAACAACAGGAACTCAACTTTGAAGTAATCCTGAACAATCAAATTTATATGCGCTACACACACAAAGGTAATCTTGTTACACTGTTCAGGGGAGTCTCAACAACCATCCCAAAGTACCGTTTTCTGAGAGTTTTTGGCCTTTGTTTTCACTGTGATGATTGCCATGTGGTGAAAATGCCCGGATGTCTGCTCCCAACAATAAACCAAGACTTATTTAGAAAATGAGAGCAGCCATGTTGTACTGCAAACAAAGGTTTTGTGTTTATATAATTATATTTATTTCATATTTACATTCCCAAACAAAAAAAAACTTTCTAAGAAAATACTCGTACCTGGTTTGCCTTGAACTGCATAAGCTGTGAATAATGATGATACTAAACTGCCAAGAAATCCAGTCGGGTGGTGATGGGTCATTCGTCCACTTTCAACACTAACAGCAATCAAGTCATCTAGTTGTTCTGGTCTAGGGTAGCGTAGACCAATACACATAGATCGCATGGCTGCACCACAGCCACCACCCCTGAATTTACAGAAAATTATCATAAATAAGAGTTAAAACAAACTATAAAGCAGTGACAACCCTCCTTGAAGTGACTCAAATGACTGCAGGAGGTTAGTAACAAGAAGGAACCCACCTAATAGTTCAAACTTTTACATGTAGTTAATCAGTATTTGAATCAAAGATCACAAGACACAAGTGTAGAGGAGCATTCACTTGAATGAAATTTGTCTGCTATTTTTGTTACACCAGTGAGTCACCTTATCACATTATTAGCTAACATTATGTAATGCTAGGGAAGAATGCATGGATCATTCAGTAGAAAAATGCTTGGAGAATTCATTTTTTTTAGAAATCATTTGCACCCCAGGTTCTCATAGATATCCTTGGCAGGTACAACATTCTATCAGCAACATCGAATAACATGTTACTGAGGAGCATTATAACTGCCACGATTAATATGTGTAACTTCACTAATAAGCATGCAAGAGGCTTACACATGCTACATGCTTATTTTAGTGAAATAAGCAGTACACATGCCTCTCGCATAGTCTGTACATTCTTATTAAACATGCAAGTTTGTTAAACATAAAAATAATTTCATAAAATCATTACAACTGACATTAAGTTTTATGGATGTGGTTTACTGGAATCTATAAAATGAAGTTTAAAAAACCATCTGACCAATCACAGTAACTGTGATATCACCAATGCGGATGAATATAATTTCATAATGAGCATCATCCAATCAGAAATCGGCTTTGTGCAGTACAAAGAACATCCCAATATTATAATACCACCTCTCTGTTGAATTTGAATTTACATTTATATATGGTTATTGATTTTAAATTTAAACCTAAAACAATAGTATTACAAGAATGACCTGGGCATAATCAACACAGTAACAGCATGCCGATCATAAACAGGGTATTTTTAATGGGAAAAAGAAGATTCAGAGCACCAATTCTACCATTCTAACTTGACAGCGTATGGATTGAGCTTACCTGTGATTGAATGGTATTGTGTATGCACCAGGTTCACGCGACAGTGCACCGACTGAATTTATTGTAGTCGCACCTAATAGAGAGATATATAATAACAATGTATTATACCATTTATAATATTATCATATGCAACTGAGATATCCATACACAGTTGGGGGGGGCAAGGGTTATTTTCGTTCAACGTAATTGCAATATTTTTTTGTTCATACAACGAAAATTGAAAAAATAAATTCCGTAATTCTGTAATCACAGGATAGACGTACAACGTAATCAATCAAATATTTTTTTCGTACACTGTAAAAATGTGTCATTTTTCTCAGTACGTACAAGAATTTACATCCAAATAAAAAAAATTCGTGAAGAATAATCCAGGGAAATTACATTTTCGAAACTGTAAAACGACTAGATGACACAATTCACAGCAAAATTCAATTTTCACTTTAAACTGTAAAAACGTCTTTTTTTTCCTTCTAGATTTTAAAAGCCCTTTTTATTTCACGTAAAACTGTACCAGCTAACCCCCTCCCCCTTGCCCCCCATTACAGTTATATTCGATTTCCATTCAAAGTTGTTGTTTTTTTACTACATGTACAAGGTACCAAGATCTGGCAAGACAACTATGTTTTATTACTCCTTACCAATACTAGTATAAGGTGGTTAGACAAAGATTGGTACTGTTGGCGATCCGCTCCGCTCCGCTAGGATTGCCCTTATAATCACTTTTGTCGTTTTGTGTGTGTGTGTGTCTGTGTGTGTACATTTCCAGTGTTCACTATTATTTCTTCTGTGATTTTTTTGGCTTGGCCGATTTCGTTCAAACTTGGCAGGTAGGTCACACCTTAACCCTAGTTATAAGGAAAAATCTGAAAATTTTTTTTGGCCCACCGTTGCCATAGCAACAGCCAAAAAACTGATTTTTGGATAGCTTCGCGCCAAATGTATCTCCTCCTACAAATTTGGGATAAAACACTTCAGACATAGCTCATTCTACTCAGCTTGAGTGTGGGCACAAAGTTACCATTTGAATTTTTGATATCTGTTTTCATTACCGAGAAATTTGACCCTAAATTTGGGGTAACTTTTCACCAGCAACGGCTTTTAACTCCTCTGTGATTGTTTCGGCTCGGCCGGTTTTGTTCATACTTCACAGGTAGGTCGTGCCGTCACTAATTGGAAAACAATCCTGGCCCACCATTGCCATTGCAACATCCAAAAACTGATTTTTGAATACTTTCGCCCCAAATGTATTACCTCCTACCAGTTTTATCGGTGTCGCTGGGTGTATATGATAAAGGGAAGTTGTGCAACCAAATTTGCCGAGTTCGCAGTTTTTCGCCAATAAAAAAATAACTAAGGCAACAACTCAC